ATACAGGTTTGGAACGCGATAATACCAACCAAGGTGTGCAAAAGTGGAGACTTCTCACTCCTTGGTTCCAGTTCTTGTTGCTATGGAGGGAGGGGAGAGAGAGAGAGAGAGAGAGAGCCCTTGCTGATGGGCGGGCGTGGATAGTACAAGGTGGGGAGGGGGGGGGGAAAGGGGACCCGTCAACGGGTAGCGCGGCATCTCACGTGGTGTTGGTGCAAGGCGCAGGGAGACGAAAGCGTACGTCCATGTGCAATCCAAGCCAGTTGACATTGGCTGTGAAGGAGCAAGTGGCAAACACATGTTGGTTTAGCAACTGGGATGATGCGTGTACATTTCAAGCAGGTTTCATCACGCTTTGGATAGATGGATGGGTGGATGCATCATGGATGGATGGATGGATGGATGGATGGAGCTTGCACGTTTTGATTTGCTAGCTACAAAATTGGAACGTGTATGGGGGAAAAAGAGACCCGTCATCTGTCCAGCTCAACACCTGATGCAGTGGAGCGCTTACGAAATGAAGCTACGGACAGGCGAGATGCCGTACATACTTTGGTTAAGAAATAAAAAAGAAAACACACACTTGGGTATTTGACAAAACAAAAGCGACCGATGCCACACTCCAGCACTTGGAGGGGATGAACAAGGAAATTTTTTTTTCGTGCGTCCATGATTTGCAAGAATGGGGGGGGGCCATTTGACCATGCCTTTCTATGGTGGTGTATCTGGCCTGGTTCCTTGATTTTGTGTAGGTTTTGTTGGGAGAGTGGTGGTGGTGAGGATGAACGCCGTCGATGCTCCTTGTAGTGGCCAAAAAGGGAAATGATAAACTCCGTGGTGAAATACCCAAATGGAAAAAAAAACTGGGCAATGTGACTATTGGTTTCGTGTTCGTGTCTGGGCGGCCTATTTGGGATGTTTTGGCAGAGGCGGCGCCGGCGCTTGTTGTTGATGGTGGCTGCTAAAGTCACCTGCCGCCGACAGAGGCGGTCCTGCCAGGAGAGTACTCGCCCCGGCGACGAGCCTCGTCGCGGATAAACTTGTCGACGTGTTGGTCGGCCTCGGCCCTGCTCACACCAGCCGTGAGGTAGCCACCGACTTCGTTTTCGAGCTCGAGAGGCGTGACTGCTCCCGGGCTGGCTAGAGGCTCGAGACGGGGACTGGTTGGCTTGGGCCCAAAGCCCTTGTGCTGGCGAGTGGTGTTGGCAATGAGCTGCTGCTGGTAGAGGTACATTTGTCGTTGGACCTCGAACTGGCGGTTGGTGGAGCGGGGCGAGGCAGGTGAGTGGGGGCTGTCGGGACCAGAGGCAGGCGTGTTGGCCTGGCTCGAGTGGGCCGAGGTTTGCGAGGAAGCATAGTTTGCTGGGTGGAAGCGAGGCAGTGAAGGGAGCCTCAGATGGGCGGCAGGGCCGTGGTTGCTGGACTGGCGAGGGTTCATGGCGGGCCGTCGTCGAGCCTGGGAGGGGATGTCGAGAGGCTGGGACCTGGGAGACAGAGGAGAACTGATGGCAGGCATGTTGCGATCAGAAGGTCGCGGGGGCATGTTCTGGTGATGGTGGGAGGCGTCGGGCCTAAAGATGAGTCGCGAAAGGGAGGGCGAGGCTGGCGGAAATGTCATATGACGAGGTGGCGAGAGGGCCTCGTGTGACCTTTTGAGCAGAGGCAAGGTGGTATATGTATGTATGGAGGAAGCGCGAGATGGTGGTGGGAAGGTCGCGGTGTGCCGAGCGGCTACGCACAGGCTGCGGCGGCGTGCAATATATCTAGCAGCGGGAGGGTCCAGCACAGGCGTTGGCCGTGGACAGGCAGATGCAGGCGTCGGGCATGGTAGCCGATGCTATTGGAATGGACTGGAATGGGACGGCGGTGATCTTCCGCTTGCGAGGCGCGCCGTCGTGCGGTAATGGTGCCTGGGAGGGCGGCAGGGTTGGGGCAGGGTTGGGGCAGCGAGGGTGAGGGCCTGAGTTGTCCCGAAAGCTGGGTCCACAGGCGCCAAGCGGCACGCCTGTGGGAGCACGACGACGGGTACAGAGCCTCGCACTCGTGTCCATGATGCAGACGCACACGCCGACGTGGTTAATCTCGTCATGGCCTTGGCCTGCCTTGCCGTGCCATCCCTGCGTCGTTGGTGCTGGGGGTGCAAAATGCTCGCCAGGCCCGCACGCCGTGGCAGCAGTGGCAGCCGCAGAATAGCGACAGCATGCCTGCAATGACGCACTGCGCAGTGCCGCCTCTTCTTGCTGTCTGTGTGTGTGTGTGTGCGTGCCAAATTCCCGGCGCTAAACGCGTCCATGGCAAAGCCCGATTCCTGTCTGCCCTGCAGCAGCTCGTCCCCGTTCGCTGCACCCGCCGCACACCAGAATGCATGCATGCATGCTGCGTCATGTAGACGCTACTTACAACACGACATGGCACCACAATGGCCCAGCAGCTGCCCCCGCCAGAAACAGCTTGGACGCGAAGACGCATCTTGCACCCAGCTGGAACCCCCACTCCAAGCAAGCCATCGAGATCCAAGACTATACGCGTCGTTTGCCTTGCTCTGCCCGCCGTCGACCCCAGACTTCGCCGAGCCCTCCGTAGCCATGGCCCCTACGTGCTGTCTACCCACCGAGCCAGCTCTGCTAGCCCCAACTGTAACGGCGCTTCGTCCGTCACTTGTAGACAGCGCCTCGTGCTGCGTCGCGACCCTGCCTGGTACTCATGACGATGCCGCCGAAAGCTTATTCCATCTACCCATTAGACATGTCGCGGCACTGAGCCCAGCCCGCACATGCCGTCATGCTCTTCGCCTGCCCGCCCGCACCACAAACGCCTCGACACGCACAATGACTGAAATGTACCCAACCTCGCTCCCTCCAAACGCCATCTAGTCAATCTTGCCACAATCCAACCCCGAATGCCTCCCACAATGCCCAACGTGCCACTGCACCATTCATCACCACATGCCCCTAAGCCCACACCGGCTCCCGGCTAGCCCAAACCACTCTACCATGACGCTATGCGTGGCCCTCGACACTCGTCTCCCTAGGCATACCACATGGTACACGACACATGCCCGCAACACAAATACATAGCAATGCAAGCAACTGTTACACATGTCAATCTCACGAGGCGAAGCACGCCGCTCAATGTCTGTGCCGTGAATGGGTTGCATTGCTTGCTGGACTGCACTGTCGGCCTCTACTATCTATCCTCTTGCCCCGAGCTTCTCCAGCGCACGTGCACCCTGCTCTTCCCACTCGGCCTTTGATATCCACATGTTCTCCTTGTCCGCCATGATGTTCGCCAGCACCGCCCCTCCCAGGAACACCATGTGCCTTCGCCGCGGCGGATCCTCGATGCGCACCTTGAATTTCTACCCCCCTGTTAGCACCACCCACCAACATGCTTGACTGCACACTCACGTTGAGTCGCTCTGGGTTGCCCCCCAGCACCTTGGTGAGCCACAGCTGCTTGAGCTCCTTCTCCAGCCGACTGGGCAGACCCGGGTACATGCTGCTGCCGCCACTGAGCACAATCGCCTTGTACAGACTGCTCCTGACATCCACGTCTGCAGCCTGGATCGTGTTGAACAGGAACTCGGCGATACCAGGCTGTTCCACGTCCACCAGATGCGGCTGGAACAGACACTCGGGAGCCTCGAAGCGCTCGCTGCCCACTCGAATCACCCGCCCGTCCGGCAGCGTATACGACTCGACCAGCACTGTCGTGTCTTCGCTGAGCCGCTGGTCCAGCTCGAGATCGTAAGACACGTAGCAGAGCTTTTCCTTGATCTGACGCACCGTTTCGAAATCCGCCGTTCGGTTGAGCGCGTATCCTCTTCGTAGCAGCAGGGCAATGAGGTTGCGCGTTACATCTCGTCCGGCCACATCGAGACGGCGAGTGAGGTGGTTGAGCACGGTGCTTTCGTACACGGGAACGATATGTGTCACACCGTCGCCAGAGTCCACAACCACTCCAGACGAGAGACCCTGCGCATACAGAGCAAGCACGGCCTGAATAGCCACGTAGACTCCCCCGAACCCGTAGCGTTCAAACATGACCTCGCACATGGTCTCGCGGTTCTTGAGAGGGTTCATAGGCGGCTCCGTGAGCAGGATCTTGCGGCCCGTCGGGTCAATCTTCATCTTCTCGTGGAAAGTGTAGTCCCACAGTTGTTGCATGTCGTCCCAACGCTTCACGATACCGTTCTCCATCTGCACCACAAGCAGTCAGTACGTGCTTCTGCCCCTGTCATTCCTGTGTAGCAAGACGTACCGGGTAGGTAATCTGAAGCATTGAGCGCGCTGCTGCCGCCTCGTCACCGCACATGATGTCCTTGAGCTGAATGTCACCGCCATCCCGCTCCTCGGTTCGTAGAATGGGCCGGCCGACTATTGACGGATACTGGTGGTCTGGGAAGTTCTGCAACCCCAAGAGTCAGCTTTGCAGCCTTCGCGGTTGTGCTCCTGTAGACACTCACCTGCCCGGCATAACCCGCCTTGAGGAAACCAGTACCGCCGTCGAGCACTAATTGAGAGGTAAGCCAAGCTCAGAGCGGTCCGCAAAACAGCAATGCCTACCAATAGGAGCTTCAGCCATCTTTTCAAAAGCTCTACAGAGGGGGGTGAGGTGAGGGAGGTGGATGTCGAGAGCTGGCTGTAGCTCAGTGTTGCGTGCCTGGAGGTTGACGTTGGCGGCGGGGCGCTGATGGTTGGCCGGGGGTCCGTGACCACTCAAACAGGCGAGGTACGTAGAAGGGCGAGCTGCAACTTGAAAACAGGCAGCTGCTTTTGATAATGGCAGAATATGGGTGACAGAAGCAGATTGCCCGTCTCGACAAGGCACAGAAATGCTGCGTTATTGGGTTTCAACACCCCGCGCTTCTGCTTGGGCATCCAACGGCAATGGCTAGCGCACTGCTCACAGAGCCCCCATGGATGCAATCACGAAAAAAAAAGAAACAAGACTACTCTCGAGTGCCGTCCCTTCAATATCTGCAGTGCCCATGCTGTATACCGCATGGTTGAGTCTGGCTTGCGGCACCCGCGGTCACCCACCTGGCGCCTGCCCGCATGGTCACCCACCCCGAGAAGTCGCGACTTGCACATCGCTTAGCGACATGGCCCGAGCGCCCACTCCAATATTGCGTATCTCAGCAACACCAACTCGAACTTTCTCCCTCCAGCCGCATCTACTAACAGCAGCCCGGTCAAAATGCCTTTCGTAAGTACGCCTTGAGTCGCACTCGCAATTGCAATCCCCTCGTCCCATGGCCCTGGTGGCAACCCCGCTTCGACGGTTTGTCGAGTGGAGTCTTTGCGAGATGCTTCGAATGCGGGTTTGAAGCGCAAATCGCTGACTCTGGGAAAAGTCCAAGCTCCAGAAGAACGACGCCTACTTCTCGCGGTACCAGGTCAAGTACAAGCGCCGCCGACAGGGAAAGAGTACGTACTGGGCGAACTGGCCGCTTTGCGACTGCATCTAACAGCTGGCAGCCGACTACTATGCCCGTAAGAGGTTGATCACCCAGGCCAAAAACAAGTACAATGCGCCCAAGTACCGCCTCGTCGTTCGCTTCACCAACAAGGACATCATCTGCCAAATTGTCCACTCCGAGATTGGCGGAGACAAGGTTCTCATGGCTGCTTAGTAGGTGCCACGCGAATGCACTGCACAGGGCCTTGTGTGGCTAACCAATGCACAGCGCTCACGAGCTGAAGGCCTACGGCATCACGCACGGTCTTACCAACTGGGCTGCTGCCTACGCCACCGGTCTCCTTCTTGCCCGCCGTGTGCTCAAGAAGCTCGAGCTGGACCAGAGCTTCGTCGGTGTCGAGGAGGCCGATGGTGAATTCACCCTCACCGAGGCGGCCGAGGTTGACGGCGAGGAGCGCCGCCCCTTCAAGGTGTTCCTTGATGTCGGTCTCGCCCGCACCTCGACTGGTGCCCGTGTCTTCGGTGCCATGAAGGGCTGCTCTGACGGTGGTGTCTTCGTTCCCCACTCGGAGAACCGTTTCCCCGGATACGACATGGAAGCCAAGGAGCTCGACGCTGAGACGCTCCGCAAGTACATCTTCGGTGGCCACGTTGCCGAGTACATGGAGACGCTGGCCGATGACGACGAGGAGCGCTACAAGTCTCAGTTCAGCGGCTACATCGAGGACGACATCGAGGCTGACGGTCTCGAGGAGCTCTACCAGGAGGCGCACAAGCAGATCCGCGAGGACCCCTGGAAGAAGGAGGAGAGCTCTGCACCCAAGAAGACCAAGGAGGAGTGGAAGGCCGAGTCGAAGAAGTACAAGACGCCCAAGCTCACCAAGGCGGAGAAGGAGGAGCGTGTCAAGGCCAAGATTGCCGAGATTACCTCTTAAGCGGTTGCTTTTTCTTGTTCACACTCTGTTCTATCATGACAAAAGCACGGCCCTGGCGTCTGGTGATGATGTGGGAAGGACAGCGGTGTGCTGGCAGGATGCATGTTCTTTACTTAGCCCTTGACGACCTCAATGAGATGATGAGACGGCAGGCGACTGCTGGCTCTCTCACAAGCAAGATACCCCCCCTTTTCCAAACGATTGTGCTCCCACTCCGCTCGTCCTGTGTAGATGAAACATGCTGAACTCGCCAAACGTGACGCAGGCAGCTGCGCCATCACAGCCGCCGACGCCACATGGGCGAGTCTTGGCCCTGGCTGGCTGGCTGGCTGGCTGGCTGGCTGGCAGGCATCGCGTCATGTCTCAAGGGTAACGCTGTCTTGTTGAAGCGGTCAGCCAGGCCGGGGCTGTCGCCAGCCACGTTTACTCAGCAAAGTGCATCAGCTGCCAGATACGGCGTCAGCTGCGAAAGGTGAGATGGAGGTATATAGACGACGATCCGAGCTGGTGCGGATGGACACGAGTGCGAGCCCGTCGAGGCTTACTTAGGGGAGAGGGCCAGGAGATCCGAAGCCATCTGCCGAGCGCCTTTCGTCATCGCCCCGGCTCCCACAATCAGCTTCAAGTGCACGTACGCTACCCTCACTCCGCATCGGCCGAAGGCCGCACGGGACCGCCATTTGCAATCGCCCAACAAGCGCAACAAGAATAATAATAATCATAATAAGTAGTCGCCCGTACTTGTTTCGCCCCTCTCGACGGTGCGGCATCTTTCAGGGTTTGGCGCCGTTTCCAACCAAGCCGTGGTGTGATTCCTTGCCTCCGGATAGCGAGAAACCCCGCAGATTCCGGTCATTCTCACCGCGCGCGTCAGCAACCCGGGGCGCATGGCGACGCCCCTAGAGACACAATGACTGCCATACAAGCACCCACCGACACAGCATCCGCCATGGAGGACATCCATGGTGTCGATGTATCGTGGCTGCACCACTCGACTAGAGGTAAGGCCCGCCTAACATGGAGTGGAGACGTCTCGGCTTTGCGGCGCGACCCTGGGGATTTGGACAGCCCTGCTAATATTGCCTCTTCACTTGTAGACCATCATCATCGCCAGCATGTCTCTTCGTCGCCCGGCTGGAGCAAAGATGCGCCGCCCAAAACCCTGTCGAATGGTGGCATATCCGCCAGATCCCGCCACGACGAGCAGCAACAGACACCAGAGCCGAAACCGGCGGCCAACAGACCCGCATCTCCACCGCGGCCCCCTCCTCCTGCTGCTGCTCCTGCGGCGACCGCCACCGCGACCACGACTGCGCCCCAAAAAACACCATTGAAGCGACCAGCACTGCTCAGCCGAAATAGCTCGGAAAAGAACCTAAACGGAACCACGCCACCAGACTCGAGAAACACTTCGCGGCGCGGATCGTGGATGACGAGCTTCAGCTCCAAATTCTCTTCGCAGAACTCACCTGCGCAGACGACACATACCCAAGCCCAGGGATCACACGCAGCGTTACATGGCGCGGCCAACTCGTCACCGTCTGCGAATGGCGCCCTGAACGGCATACAGGCAGCCTCGGGAGGAACCCATGGTGCCTCTGAACCCTATGTTCCGCAACCACCCAAGAGCTCATTCGTCGGCAACGTCCTTCGGCGCCTGTCTTCGGGGTCACAGATAAGCGCCTCTGGCAAGGTCTACCCGAATGGAGGCATGTGCCCGCGCAGAGTCATGAACATCGACCAGAAACGCGAGCGATGCCTAGTACCCGAACTCGACCAGAACAAGTTGCGGAAAGTCGCTTTCTGTGTGGATGTCGAGATTGCGGCAGGGCCCAAGTACAAAGACGATGTGGATACAAACGAGAAGCAGTCAAAGCGCAAAGAGAACAACAAGATGAAGGAGCGTGGCGAGGGAGAAGCACTCAAAAATCCAGATGCTGTGGCGGATCAAAAGGACAAGAAAGGCGTCATCGCCGTTGCGCAAGAAGCTTTTGGCAATGAAAAACAGCCAAACCCAGAGGGCACTATAGTCGAGGACAAGCAGGAGATAAGCAAAAAGAAGGAAAAGAAGAAGCGATCAGAAGCTGAACGTAAAGAAAGGAAAGAGAAGAAGCGCAGGAAAGCCGAAGAGAATGGTACCATACCTTTGGAGCTCACCAGAGACGACGACAGTGGTAGTGCTGAAGGTGTACCCGCTCCGGCTGGGACGACAGCTCCTCGCGCTCAGGACCGGCCGACGATTGATCCCCTGCGCATTTACAGGCGGTGTTGCCAGCTACGCGAATCGCCAATCCTCAAACGCATTAGCGACCAACTGGCAGCCCCCCGTGCATGCGCCGTTGTTCAGCCGGGTGTTGTTATCTCTCTAGATTTGACTGGGTCGCGGTTACAACTAGCAGATGTCCTGACTCTATCAGACTGGCTAGCCATCGTACCTGTGAAGAAGCTGTTCTTGGAAGACGCCGATCTGACCGACGAAAAGATTCGCGTCATTCTCGCCGGGCTTCTGGCCGCCAAAGTCCCAGAACCACCAAAACGTCGCAGTCAGTCAAGCGATGGACCCCAAGACGGACTTTGCCAACAAGGCTCCTGCGCTGTCAAGAAACTTGTCTTGAAAAACAACCCGAAAATCACATCCGAGGGCTGGAAACACATTGCTCTGTTTTTGTACATGTGTAAATCCATCGTGGCCATGGACGTGTCAATGATCCCATTCCCAAACCCTCAACCACCCGTCGCCTCCCCGTCACCTGCGGATAGCACGCAAACCTCGTCGCATGCCAAGGACGGCAAGTCAGGAGATATTGCAGACATATTCTCAAAGGCCATTTCCGAACGCTTGGGTGGTGCTGAGCTCCAAGAACTGGCCATGGCTGAGTGCAACCTGACCTCTTCGAGTGTTCGCAAAATCATCGATGGCTGTATTGTTAGTGGCATCCAGCGCCTTAGCCTTGCCACAAACGACCTGGACGCGGAAGGATTAGAACATGTGCTCAAGTACGTGCGCTCTGGAGTATGCCAAGGTCTTGATCTTGGAGGCAACGACCTCCGATCTTGGATAGGCCAGCTCGGCGAGTGCATAAGCCAGTGCAAAAACAGTCAGTTTTGGGCATTATGCTTGCAGGATACTGGGCTCACACCCGACTCGCTCAAGACACTTCTCCCAATTCTGGTATCTCTGCCATCCTTCAAATTCTTGGATCTTTCATATAACAGGGGTCTTTTCTCAGGCCAGACCGCACTGTGTCTGCTGAGAAAATACATGCCTCAGTTCAAGGAGCTGAAGCGGATACATTTGATGAGTGTCGACATAAAGCCCGAGGATGCCATAGCCATTGCGGAAATCCTTCCCGACTGTCCTCAGATCGCCCATATCAACATTCTCGAGAATCCCGAAATTACACGTGTTGCAAATTCCACCGACGAAGAAACCCAAGAAGATGCGGCTGCGCTGTATGCATCTCTGGCACTCGCGGCCAAATTGACAAAATCGCTCATATGCGTCGACGTCGACATACCGGCCCCTGAGCAGAGCGAAGTCATCAAGGCACTTGCGAAACAAGTCGTGGCGTACTGTCTGCACAACATTGAATCCATGAACGAAGTGCCCGAGCTCCGTACCGCACTAAAGGAGGTCGAAGTACCCGGGATTTTGATGCGCCTTGTAGCTCCAGGGGATGCCGATGGTAAAGAGAACGACGAGTCATCATCTGCTGCTGACAATGACTATATTGTTGGTGGCACAGGTATCGCCAAGGCTCTGAGCTACTGCCTGTCTCACAAGGACTCCAACCTCCGTCGGCTGTCAGCCTCCGCAAGCGGCACATCTACTCCAAGAAGTCGCAGCGTAGTTCCAGTACTCGAAGAGCCCTGTAAAGCAAGAGCCATGTCCAAGGATCTTCTTGATACGGCGCGCAACACACGATTTAGGATCCAGCCCGCCTTGGCTCGGGAAGCGAAGTGTGGCAATGATATGAATTACCGTACGTCATGTGATTGTTCCAGCTTGTGGGTGACGCTAACATGTGCAGGTCGTTTACTGTTCCTGGATCAAACGCTCCTGGGCATGATACAGCGCTTCGAGGATGAATACCCAGAAACTCGTCTCCAACCGTCAGATGCTGTTTCTATTTCTAGCTCGATACCGAGCAGCTCGCCGCCTGTTTCTGCAGTACCGACTCTTGAAAATAGCGCTGTTTCCGACACGATGACTCCTGAATCCGATGAAGACGAGCCCTCCACCATTCGCTCGCGCCATAATTCAGACGTGTCCCTTGCATCTCGGCACATGTCACTCGAAGAGGGCCGTCTGCATCGCTTTGGCCACCGCGTGCGGACTGGTCTTCTCAACAATTCTCGTCCCACCACACCCGATGTCCCCAACAATCACAGTTCCATGATCTCCGGCACAGCGGAAGATGAAGGCATTCCCGAACATATTCTGGCCTTGCGTGCGTACTTCCAGAACCACAGTGGCGGAGAGGTGAAGGATATAATTGAGGGCAAGGGCTGGGAAGAAGCCTTCAACAGGATAGTAGAGAATGCCGAGGAATTGAAGAACTTGGAGCGAGACGACCCCCACCACTTCAAGATTTTTATGGATAGTCAAGTCGCCGCGTTGAAGAATCGGAATCCGGATATCCACGCGTCTGGAGAGAAGGATGTAAAGAGTAATGTTGATGAAGATGGCGATGATTTTGCTGTTGAAGATTAGGTTATGGCTTGTTATCCGCAACGGCGGACTGGATTGTACGATAGGTTTGATACTTGGGCCTTGAGTTAGGATTCCGGAACACCTCGGATGACTTTGGTGATTCTTTTCTGTCGTTATAATATGTAAGCATTTTGCCTATCGTCCCCCAGTGGCGGCGTAGGTAAATGGTATTCTTAATACTACTTCAATACCGATTCTGTCTTGGCCAGATCTTGTGTGTGATGGTTGTTTCGGCAGTCTGTAAAAGAACGCGAGCTTGGCAGTGTATGTGATAAGGTGCTGTATGATCCAGGGCCACCGACTGAAGACCTTTACAAGGTCGTCTTACACTCACGCCACCACGAACCACTTTCGCGACACACACCACCTCCTAGCGCAAGCTCCAATCACACAGCTTCTTATACCAAGCAGCCATGCACTCTGTTAATAGAGAACCAACTACTCCGGCATCTTCAAGATGCCCAGTGTAACCACTGCCTCATTTTATCTCTTCCTGATTCTCGCCTTGACCATCCAATTCTTGCTCCCGTCGCCCCCAGCTAAAATGGCCTCGCCCAACAAGCCGTGGGCCGACACGCCGTGTAAACTCGTCACGACGCCGCAATATGCCACGAAAAAAGTAACACACTTCCAAACTCTCTATCATCCAAACCCACACACATAACCCCCACTCTCACAAACAAACAAAAATCGCTGACATTGATTCGCAGACCGACATTTTCTCCACCGGCGCAACACACATGGCGCACATCCACAACGCTATTCTGCGCGGCTTCAACTCGATCTACCTGCAGGCGCCGCACGTGCTGGATGCGGATAAAGCGCCGTTTTTGGGTTACGCGCTGACGTGGTACCGGTTTGTGAAGAGCCATCATGATGATGAGGAGGAGGAGTTGTTTCCGGCTGTGGCGCGGGTGCTGGGGGATGAGCGTGTTTGGAGGGAGACGCATAGGGAACATGGTATGTACATTTCCCGCCCTTTTTTTTCGTGTCTTGGGAGATCTCGCTGGATTTTTTCAAATGTCGGGGATATGGAGACATGAGAGATTGAGAGATGTGTACATGGCTTTTCTTTTCTTTTCTAACCTGTCTTTACAGAAGCCTTCCTAGATGGTCTCGCGCAATACGAAGACTACCTAAACAGCGTATCCGGCACGCCTAGCGCCTTCAACGGCACGCAGCTGCAAGCGATAATGGCCTTGTTCCAAGAGGCCTTTTGCACGCATTTCCACAGCGAAATCAGCACCATTGCCGCCTTTGCAGAGCACCCGTCCGCACCAGCGCCGCACAGCGCCGACGCGGAAAACGCAGCCGCCGTGTTCAAAGCGTGGGGCAAGAAGACGGTCATGAAGGCTGGGACCCTCGACGTCGTCCCGTTTTTCCTGCTCAATCTCGATGCTGAGTATGAGGACGGCTTGTGGGCGGATTGGCCGCCCATGCCTAGACCGGTGCGCTGGGGCTTGGTGAATGTGGGTGGGAGCGTGCACTGGTCGTGGTGGAAGTTTGCGAGCTGCGATGCGAGTGGGAAACGGAGGGAGTTGTATGCGCTGGGACAAGGGGAGAGTAATAAATAGTAACGTGTTTGGTACGGGAATTCGTGGTGCAGTTTCTCCATGTTTCGTGCTCCAGACTCGTTTCCCGTAGTGCTGAATGGAAAGGGGAAACAAAAGTATCGGGGGCGGTGGTGATAATACAATAACGAATTGATAAGTTTCCAAGATATCCTGACACCAGAATACCTATGACGGAGCATAGTTAAAGCTTATTGCCACTTGACTAGTCCGTCTATGTGAACTTGCAGCGCGATATCATCTCCACACAGCCCTGCACTAATATGCACATTGATAGCCAACCCATCATCCCTGACCAGAAACATATCACTTCGCACGTCGTTGCCACGTAGAGGGTCATACACTTCATCTGGTATTCGCGTCTTCACAGCCTGGGGCCAAGTTCCTGCGGCCGTCGGGCCACTCTGCTGCTGCTGTGGTTGAGCGATTTCCGGGACTGCTTTGCACCAGTAGTGGCAAGTTGCACGGTTGAAGCCAAACGCGACGGGGAAATTGAGCGAATGCGCATATGTGGCTGATTGCACGCGCAGCAGCAAGGCGCCCCAGAAGTCGGTGACGTGTTCGGGGATGCGGAGTTCGTGCGAAGCCTCGTCCCAGGCGTTGCGAGGCGTCACGTTGATGATGCGGACGGCGGGCGTGGCGAGGTTGGATATCCGGCGTTGGATGGAGAAGCATTTGAAGTCGGGGGTCGTGAAGCTGGGGGGTATGGTGAGTTTTTGCCGTACGTAGATGGTCTTGAGGTGGCCGGTAGGCCAGTCGTCGATTGCAGTGAGGGTCCCAGCATCAACACGTGCGTACTGTGTGCCTCCGTCTAGACACGTGAGTGTGATGGCTAAGCGCTGGTTCATCGAGTTGCTGGATCGAATCATAGCCAGGACGCGGCCTTTGTCTTGGGGGTCTGCCAGGAACTCGAGTTGGACGCAGAGGCCGATCGGGGTCGAGGCAATGGGAAATGTAGACATGACGCTTTCGCGTTCGATGGAGCGGCAGGACTCGAACTCAGAGGGGCTTCGTGCAAGAAGACCACGATAGGTGCTTTGCTGTGACTCTTTCGCCCGCCAGGCAAACAGCGAGTAGTCGTCGGTTGTCTTGAGTATCTCTTCTTGTAAACGGATAAAGGCCTTTTCGCCTTCGCCGTATAGCAGCGGCATGTGAATGTCAAAGATTCCGAGTAAGCAGTACGCAGTATCTTCGATACGCGTACTTTGTCGATGTGCAGCCCACGACATCCTTTCCGCAACCGACACTTCACTAAGAGACCTTGTTTCTTCCAGAACGTGCACAGGTATACCTGTCGCCTCCGATAACTCTTGCAAGAATTCTACCTTCTCGCCCATCAAGGTCCAGTCCTGGAAGTAGAAGCGACACACAACGGGGGCAATGAGTTCTTGAAGCGTCCAGCCACGTTGCGTCCACCGGCTGTTGGTGAAGGCCGATCTCGCGGTTTCGGAGGCGGTCCTGAAGTCCCCATGATGGTTTTTGGGTATGTCGCTAAGATACACGATGCAGACTTCTGCGTCCCTGTACCAGCGATACATAGAGTTGATAGCTTCCTGCAGCTCGGCGCTTGAAGTCTTGTCTATACAGCATGTGTCGACCCAAAGGTAGTTGCAACCCTGGCCCCGTGCTTGCTCAGCTGCGTTGATGATTTTGCTGTAGCCCACACGCTTCATCAGATGACTCTCAGACAAGCTTCTCGATGGCACACCCGAGTTTCCTCGAATCATCATTTCCAGGGCCAACATGAGAGCTGTTTGCGCATCTTGCCCGCTTGGTGATGTCGATGCTGGTATCGGCGATGCTGAGAGCGCCCGAGCTCTGTTGATCCAGACAAATTCCTGGTGGCTCACTTCATCTGGGCCCCAGGTGTGGGAGAGGATAGCATAGACCGGAATCTCATTGTCGTTGAACCATCGAAGCTCGAGTGTTCTTGTATCAATGAGCCGCATGGCAGGTTGTGCAAGGCGTTGGTGCAGAAAGTCATTAAGGTGGGGATAGAGTGGTGGGGTCCTTCGATCCTGATCAGCGAATCCTCGTCTTCAAGAATGGGGCCTCCCGCTCAATCATGGTCAGCATTCAGTCTCGACTCACCATATAGTCTTCTACATCATTGACAAGCCGTTTCACTCTCACGTATAATCTCTCGTCGTTTTGTTGTCGGACATAATGACTTGATGCGTATTTTGTTTGTGCGGGGGAAAACCTACTTTATACCTGACAACGGGCATTATGCTTCGCGCTTGATAGAAGGAATCGTCACCCATCTACCTACAGGGATTTGGTTTCAGAACTGCCGTGAAGATAGAAACTTCCAAGCATGTAAGTGAGTATCATGAAGACATTTCCAGCTGCACGTGTCAAACAAATGCTTCACAATGTGGAAATAGAGACGAGAAAAGATTGCGTCTTCCCTCAATTATATTAATATACATAAAAAAGTCTCTTCATCAGCAGATCCAGTTGATCTTGATGTGTACCTTGATAATGACAAAGATAGACAATGCACGCATTCAAAGTCCACCGCGCTTCCATTTCGCATATTAATGTCCTGCTGATTTTCTGCCTCAAGCTGAGTTCTGGCAGTACCTTCCAAGCTCATCCAATGTAAATCCCCAATAATCCTGGTGAAAGTGATTTATACTCATCTGACACGAATTCGCTCCTTCGGAAGATGAAAAAGAGCAGAGGAGCCAGTCGCTAGACGTGGTCGGCAGCATTCTGGCGAGAGACTTCAAAGTCATGCTCGATAAGAATTTCGTTGCTGCTCGTGTTGTTGCGCACGGGTGCTATAGGAGTGAGGGCTATGCCCGCGGTGTCCCGGCTCTTCGCATCCGACCATATACTCATCTTACGACCTTTATCGTGGACAGCAGAGCCTTCAACAACTGTACTACCAGAAGTTGTGTCGCAGAAATTGTTGTTGATAAGGCGCTGGTGAGCATCGGGTCCTCTTGAAGCAAGGTTCTGGTCATTCACAATTCCTGCCCAGATTGCTGACAGTGGGAGGAAGATGCAAACAACTGTAAGGACATGCGAAACAATCTCGGGAAGGATTTGTGCAAACTGCAGGGAGGCGAAAATCGCTGAAAGCATGTTAGTCAAGGTTTATATTAATATGGGCATTTGGCGTACCTGGAATCAGCATTGTCTGACAGCCCATGATGAAGACAACCTGCATCGGCCCAAACTGAGGCATATTGAGACGGCGTCTCTGGATAATAGCGTAGCCAAGCTTGTAGGTGAAGACGCCGCTGAAAAGCCAGATCGAAACAGCCTGCAGCATATAGGAGATGGAGACCAGGCCCTCAATCGAGCTTGTGTCCTTGTAGGCCAATGTCAACTTTGTGTTGTAATATACAGCCGCAAATCTGTATCCAAACGAGACCAAGGCCATGGAAGTTGTAACGCCCATAATAATGCTGCGCTGGAGAGAAGGTGTGGTGACGCAGACGGTCCATACTTGGAGACTGAGTGAGACGTAGATCAAGGCATTGACCAGCATGCCAAAGATGTTGATCGTGATATGGGTAGCAAAGTCTCCAGACGAGATGCGACTCCAATCTTGACTGAGAATGGTATAGGGGTTGTAGAACTCGCCAGTGACCCAGGTACTGAACAGCAGACAACGAATCGCATTGGCGAAGACGCAGGCGGCGTTCAGGATGAAGATGGAAGATTTCCGCCTCTCTGACTTGGTCATGAGGACGAGAATCAGGAAAAGCATCAATGACGCCCCAAATCCAGCTCCATAGCTGATGGCAAGACGAAAACCATAGTAACGGTATTGGTCAAGCACCTGCATGTTGCTATTCACAACAACCCATCCACCCTGTCCGTCCGGGACGGTGAAATTCAAGTCCTGGCTCCAAGGATCAAAGTCTGGTGGAACTTGAACGTGCTGCATCGGTGCTGCCATGGCGCTTGATGAAGTTGAGATTTCTGCCCGAGGACTTGGCAATGGACGGTTTGGCTCCGTGGGACGAGGTCTTCGGTGGGTGATCCGACTGAAGGAATTTGAGGGCCTGTAATAGAATGGAAAATGGTAGAGGCAGGTAGTGGCTGCAAAGGAGCGTAAGGCTAGCAGCAACGACAGGTTTGAACTGCACAGAGCAGTAGATATAATAGTTAGGGATTGATTATGCTTTTTCGTTGGATATTGTTGCTAGACATTGTAGTTGGTGAGGTGACTGGGGGAAGCGCGTTCAGGTTCGGAACCGATAATAGCAACTACAGCGACGGCGTAGGATTGTCCTGCTATCTCGACTCACACATCCAACGGGCCAGGTCCAAGGTGAGTATGGGTCTCGGGTGCTCTGGAGACTCTTGCTATTGTTCGCTGGTCTCTTGAGCTGCGTGTATCTAATTGCTCGCCTCGATGAGTCTCCGTTTGGTGACGCAGAGCCAATATTCTCTGTCGTTTCCCTTCTCCTGTCTTACTACGAGTCGCAGAGTCGCTCCAAATATTATCGAAAGCCATCAGGAACGCTGTTTGGAGTGCGGAAGGAGGCTATGATGAGGTAGCGCCGAAATCCTTACTATTGTTCTTCGGCTCAGGCCGCCCACGCGCTGAGACATGTCGGATCCGTGGCACGAGCGACAAATCACACGGTAACGGGCCGTGATTGGTTTGCACAGTCGGGACGGGAAGCACATAAATCTGCAGTAGTGATACCGAATGCATATCTGCCCCTTGCGGAAGAATGCGAAGATGAAGATGCGGTTCTGCAAAGGTCAGCGATGACATGACGATCCAATGATGATTGCCGTCAGCCCCACTTATTCTGCACGTCATTGCTAGCTCCGGTGGCCCTCCACCTCGTAAACGTGATCGCGCGTTCACCCGTCCAATTCGCCACGGCGCGTCGAACAACACTCGAGATGTGGACTTTGGTCTCGCCCAGCCCAGCTGTTGCATCGGGCTCGAATGAATACGTCTTGCCAAACGAGGGCGTTGCTCATATTGTTCTGGACGAACACGCCAGTCATGCCCAAGTGGTTCGCTTGATGAACTCGCGCATGCAACGCGAGCTTGGCCGCATTGGTATGTACCCCTCCTCCATTTCCCTGGCGTTGACCTTACGTTGTTAGTCGCCGGACCGTTTGGTGTCAAGTTGGAAGCCGTCACGGAAAAATTGGCTATAGCACCTGGCCGAGCGCATGCAACTTCTTCGCCAACCGCCAGGTTTGAGTTGCAGCCACGCAATGACAATCACTCAGAAGCAATATTTCTCCGCCATGGCGATACAATACACTTTTCCTCGTTGAAGTCAAGTTTTGCATGCCAATGGACCGACTCTGAGGTCCAGGTCAACTCATCGGCCGCCCCTGATGCTCGTGCCATAGCTGCAACACCTGGGGATGAGACTGGGGATGAGACTGAGGATGAAGACTTGAATGAACCCGCTACTGCTGTGTCAGCCCAAAATAAAGAGTCCCACCCTCGAGCGACCCCACAACTTCTACATCAACAATCCTTGGTAGTTCAAGAGACGCCAATGGCAGCCCGAGTCAATAGCGCGTCAAATTCCATGACAGTCAACATTGACCCTCCAAAATTTACCGATAACATGGCTGATCCAGTGGATAAAACGCCCAACCCATCACAAAAGCCAGTGACCGAGTCGGATCCCGTAACAGAGACCTTTTCCACAGCTCGTACTGGCGAGTCACAGACCAAGTCGGCAGCAGCTCCCAAGGGGCTACAAAACGCGGATATCCCTCCGTCGGCTGACGCTTCAATGATGGGAACCGTTGCCAGCAAACGCGGAACTCCACTTCGCACAAGAATTAAAAGCTCTCCTCAGGTCCAGATTCCGCCGAGATCGACCAGAAAGCGCAGTACTTCTGCTGTCGATGAAGTTTCACAGCCTGAAGATGAAGCACGTGCAGGGCCTAATAAACGTACAAAGACAAGTAATGATGATGACATTCATGACAGTCAAGCGAGCAGTATCGTCGTGAAATCACAAGGATCTACAAAAAACAGAAAGGAGCGGATGACGGACGTTGCTGAGACGGATTCGGAAGAAGAAGATTTCACACGATCTCCCCGAAGCTCTGGACAGTCGACACCTGTCATAACAGAAGCTTACGACGGGCCTCCACCAAGAGTAGCTTCTAGCAACTCTACAATCACAAAAAACAGTCAGGCTGTCAAGCTGCTGAAGAAGCAAGGGGGAGCATATGTCGAAAAACTTACTGAAAACTTCGACGTATTATGGTAAGCTGAGTCACTACTTCAAACATGAACTTTGCTGATGGGTTGTAGTGTTAGAGATGGAGATCTCCAGAAGAAGACAAAGGTACTATATGCCCTCGCTCATGGAATTCCCATTGTCACGGACGCGTGGCTGCTGGATTCCGCAAAAAAAGGGCGTCTGCTCTCCTTGTCGGCTTACAAGCCCTCCACTTCCAAGCAAGAGGAGGAGTGGAAATTCAAATTCGATGATGTTTTTGGCAAACCACAAACGCCTTTCAAGGGCTATACCATCCATTTCACAAAAAGCCTCAAGGCTGTGTACGAGTCGTTTTCCGAAGTCACGGCCGTGTGCAAAGCTGCGGGTGCGAGGAATGTTACATCCACCAGGATGAATACAACCGGAGATAACATTGTACTCGCAAGCAGCTACGAAGATGATCCAGAGGCACAGAAGCTGATCAAGGATGGCATAACTTGCTATACCAAAGATCTCTTTACCTACAGCATCTTTCGCGGCATTCTCGATCTCGAAAGCGACGAGTTCAAGATCAACGGGCCTGTCTCCGGTAGCGCAAGCTCCAAAGAGAATAATAAGCGAGGTCGGAAGAGTACGTAGGATATGAGCATCTGGTTGTCAGTCCGACGGGGCTGGATAGCGACGTATGTATGTCTACGACTTTTGATCAAGTTTTACTGCATAGCCAGTGAAGCATTCAGGTTGACTGCATCCAATCAGCGTATCGTATTCCAAGAGCCACCACGTTTGCATGTAGGCAACAAATGAAGCGACGCGACACAGGCTAAGCCTACCATACTTCAATCTATCCCAGTGTGTTCTGCGGCGTCTTATGCCCCATGTAAGCGAATCAGACCCACTTCCTACCCCCACTCTGACCATTCAGAACACCTTACCCTCGTCCACCTTTGTAAGGCACATTATATGTCGCGGAATATAACAGCTGCAACCCGCCAGTCTTCCATCAATCACATGACAATAAGCCACGAGCAAATCCAGCTCAACATCCTCCGTGGCGCAATTGGCTAGCGCGTCTGACTGTTACAAGCTCTTGTAGCTCATCAGGAGGTTGGAAGTTCGAGCCTTCCCGGGGGAGCAGCTTTTTTTTATTCCAGCTGAGCCCTGAGCCATGGGAGGAAGTTTGATTTTTGGTAACAAGGGATTGTGGTTGTGGGGAAGGGTTGGCAATAGCGCGGCGTTAGCGCAGGGCTCATTGCGGGATTGCAGGTAAAAAGTCGACGGAAGACAAGTCAATATGACTGAGCGACGCAACATTTTTTGCACTTGGATGGCGGGTGAGTCTGAAAAATGCCAGAGAGCGGATTGTGTGTTTTGATTTATCCTCATTTAGCCATTTGTCCGTTCTAATGTCTGATATACATGACCTTCAGCTCGTCTCTCACTACTCACGGCACAACCTACTCATTGCGATGATTTCACACTCCATTGTCGCACCCCTGATCTTGTGAGCCCATGTGTAGTACTTCCATCTCACTGCGGCAAGCACCTGTTTCAAGAATCTGACAAGCGCAATTAAAGCCTATTCTGGAAGTCAGCATGGCCAAGAATTGCGGCTGAAGGCACGGCACGCATGGCTGTGGGGCTAGGTAACTAGCCCCACCACAAAGTGCGCGCGACCACAAAGTGCGCGCGCGCCTTACAACCACCTCAACCTCAACGCGTCGTATCCCCACCACCATGGCTAATATTGAGGCTGCGCTTGCAGCTATTAATGCCCTAGGACCTGATGAGCCTTTTTCGTATACAGATATTGCAAAAAAATATAGTGTTGTTCGATCTACGCTTACCCGAAGACACC